CCCTGCTGCCCACACTCCTCCTCATGCACCCCAGGATCCCATTGGCCTTCTGGGCACCCAGGGCACGCTGCTGGCTCATGGTCACCCTGTCGTCCCCCAGCACTCCCAGTCCCTCTCCGCAGAGCTGCTCTCCAGCCTGTACTCGTGTGTGGGATTATTCCTCCCCAGATGCAGGACCCTGCCGTTCTTGAACTTCCTCAGGTTCCTCTGCGCTCAACTCTCCAGCCTGTCCCGGTCTCACTCCTTCCAGCTCTGTGTCATCAGCAGACTTGCTGAGGGTACACTCTGTCCCTTCACTGATGAAGAAGTTGAATAATAGCAAAGGTGTGTTGTTAAATTTACGATGTTTTAAAGATTTTTTTTTTTTTTCAGATGGAAACTTTAGCAATGTATTAACTTAGAAATAAGTACTCACTCAAAATGAAATTGCTTTCTGGCAGGGGACGAGAGTGCTACGGTTTCCATGGCTTCTCTTCCCCCGGCCCCGTGCCAGAAGGTTTGAAAGTCCACCTAAGGCATTATCTGAAGGGCAATTCTAGATCCTGTTTCAGGTGAACTTGTAAAACAGGTCGGGTGAAAATGCTGTCAGTCCGGTTCGTCTGAGGAGCAGAGACTTTCACCACTAGAGGACACTTTCTGCCCGCTTGTAGCCGATGTCAGGAGCTTCATCGGGTCTGCTGTAATGAAAGATTAATACGCTTTCCACTTAGTGATGCGCTCTGTGAAGGGAAAGCTCTCATATTAACTATCTTATGCTACAATCTAGTGGTCAGGGAGTGTCTTTTACTTCAGACGAAATTTATTACTCTAAATTAGGCGTTATATATAGCTCTGAGTATCACTAGGGAACTCTGAGGCTCACCTAGGGACGCCAGTGAAGCCTTCACCCCCGCGTTGGAAGGGGATAGCCAGCAAGATTCATGTTGCTAAAACTCATCTTTCCCATAGTTTTTGGAGCAAAACCACAAGTGTGGGATGGTAGAGGTTTAGTTCCGACCTCTGGTTGACTTTCCGGTAGTCAGGGTTACCATGATGCTTTTTGCTATGGAAAGGAAGATTGTCAGTGAGCTTACTGTTCTGAACTCTGCTTCCAGAGAAGGCTCTGAGTTGCACTTGTACCTTGCTGCTGAGAGCGGGATCCTTTGTGCTTGCTGATGTGGTAACGAAGCGGCGCAGGCCCCGTGAACCCCTGTTGTTTTCCTTTCTGCAGGAGCTAAGTGTGGCTCTGTACAGGCATCTCCTTGGCCTTCAGGAGAGCGAAGGCAGCCTGGATCAGCCTGCAGCTGGAAAGGATCTGAACCTTCTGTGCTGTGACATTGATCCGGTGTTGATTGAGAGGGCTCAGCAGTGCAGCCCCTTTCCTGCCTCCATGTCCTTTGCCAACCTGGACATCATGGACTCCAGTGCCAGGGAGCCATTGCTGAGGTCCTACCTGGGCCGTTTTGGCCGCTCTACCTTTGACATTGGATTTTGCATGTCCGTGACCATGTGGATCCACCTGAATCACGGGGACAGTGGCCTGATGGAGTTCCTGTCCTTCCTCTCGTCGCTGTGCGAGTACCTGCTGATCGAACCGCAGCCGTGGAAGTGCTACAGGGCAGCCGCGCGCCGCCTGCGGAAGCTGGGCAGGAATGACTTCGATCACTTCCGATCTCTTGCGATCAATGGGGATATGGCGGAGAGGATAACCCAGATCTTAACGAAGGACTGCGCCATGGAGCTGGTGTGCTGCTTCGGGAGCACCAGCTGGGACAGAAGTCTCTTGCTTTTTAAATCAAATGGCTCAAATCACGAGGGCAGGGAGTCTTCAGAACAAGAGCAGTGACTGATAAATGGCCTCTCACATTTGTGGATTCATAGGCAAGGAGGTGCTTGCTGTTCATGGAGCCAGATCTAGGAATTCCTAAATCCCGGCTGGGACCAGATCTTGACCTCGCTGGGAAATTTGAGGCAAATAATGTCTGTGTGGGGTTTTTTTCTTTCTTTCCATCCACAAAGTGTGGTGGCAGTTGTAATCTGCCTTGTGGGATCTGGGATTGCTGTTCCTAGAAAGTGCTCTTGAAATCAAAGTTGCTACATACGTGCTTTCCATGTGTATCAAGAATATTCCCTGGAAGAAAAGAGAACGTGCTACCTTTGTTCCTGGAGCTTTTCAGGGAAAGGGAGCATTTCTGTTGACCCATGCGACGCACTGTTTGTTCTGCTTCTGGTTGTGTTTTCTGTATAAAACGATCTTGGAAAACATGTAACCTGATTTACCAGCTACGAAGTGAGTTGGATCATTGCAGAGGGTGTCTGGTCGACAGGTTGCCCAGAGAGGTGGTGGATGCCCCATCCCTGGAAACATTCAGGGTCAGGTTGGACGGGGCTGTGAGCAACCTGATCCGGTTGAAGATGTCCCTGCTCACTGCACGGGGTTGGACTGGATGGCCTGGAAAGGTCCCTTCCCACCCAAACCATTCTGTGATACTGGTCAGGCTGTGGTCAATGCATCTTTGCAGATGGGGCTTGTCTTGGGCTCCCCAGTTCAAGAAAGATGAGGAGCTACTGGAGAGAGTCCAGCGCAGGGCTACGAGGATGGTGAGGGGACTGGAGCATCTCTGCTACGAGGAGAGGCTGAGGGAGCTGGGCTTGTTCAGCCTGGAGAAGAGAAGGCTGAGAGGAGGAAGTTCCAGCTGAACCCGAGGAAGAACTTCTTCCCTCTGACGGTGACGGAGCCCTGGCCCAGGCTGCCCAGGGAGGCTGTGGAGTCTCCTTCTCTGGAGATATTCCAGCCCCGCCTGGCCGCGGTGCTGTGCCCCCTGCTCTGGGTGACCCTGCTTGGGCAGGGGGTTGGGCTGGGGGACCCCAGAGGTCCCTGCCAACCCCTGCCATACTGGGATTCTGTCTGGAGTGTGCGTTGGACGTCGGCAGTAGCCTGACGGTTCGGTGGAGTGAGGAGTTTCTGTGGTAGGGCATGTATTCGTGGAAGTGTATAACAGAGTGAGTGCTTTTTGTAATAATATCCTTGAAATAAAAAGATAACTTAATTTTATTGTAAATACCATGTTGGGATTTTTAATCTTTCTTTTTATTAGCGTTGTTTTCAATACCTACGCAGTCCCAAGTAACTGAGCTTATAACTTTGTTGTATTTACAGCTCAAGTGAGGCTTTGGTAAGCTTGGAGCTAGATTTGGCTAAGGTTAAAGTATTACAACTTTCACTGGGCTGGTTGGGTAGGGTTGTTTTTAGTAAAATCTAGGAAGAAAGAAAATTTGAGCAAAATGTTTTATTTTAGCATCATTTTTCTTGTTTTAATATCCCTACTAGCTTTAGTTCATACACAGCTAGTGGTTTTGTTAGCTTTGATACTTAGGAGTCATACTTCTGTAGTGTTTAAACAGATGAAAAACCTGACTTGAGCCGGTTATGACACACAGAAATAGGTAACTGATGACTTACGAATTTCTGGGTTCCGCTGCTTCCTTGCTGCGAAGCGAGAGGGAAGCCCAGGTGCGTGCTGTGAGCGCTGTGTCAGCAGAGCTCGGTACCAGAGAGCCAGGGGCAAGGAGGGGGGGGTCTCCTCCCAGGAGAGGGGGGGTCTCCCCTGGGAGCTGCTCTTGTCTGACTGTGCCTGCGTGCAGGGGCAGAGAGAACCTTTGATTGCATCTTACTTTATGTTCTTACTGGGTCTTCCTTGTTATTTACTCATACAGTGATAGTGGAGGGGCCTAAAAAAAAAATAAGAAGCTTTGATTTCCCCCACGGTGAGCTCAGGTGGAAGAGCGAAGCGTGTGAGCGTTCTGGCTGGCTGGCCACAGGCGTCTGGATGAACAGCGGATGGACGTGTGGAAGAGGCGTGCGTGTACGTACACGTGCTTCAAGGGACTGAGCAGGGTCACAGAAGGGCTTGGGGCTCTTCCCATAAATGCAACTTCCAATGTTCTGTTACATAGAAAATATTTCGGACTCCCACTAGGAGCCCTGTAGCTCCTCTGCCTCTCAGCTGCAGACAAATGTGCCGTCCCTCGTGGTGCTGGTCGCTAATTTTCTTAAAGAAGACTTCTCAGTCTGGGATGATTCTGCTGTTCCTGTGGAAGCGAAGGGAGAACCGATTTGTCGTGTGTTTTCCTGAGGGTTCGCCCAAGTGCCTGATCTCTCTCAAAGCTTATTTATCTACAACATTGATCGCTTTGGTAATTAAGCACCTTGTCTGACATTCGTTGTGATCTGTGGGGAAGCGCCATTGGCTCGAGGGGTGTTGGCTCACCCAGTGCTGCTGGGCAGCTCAGCCTCCCGCTCTGCTGCGCTGCTCTTTGCTCTGTTGTGCAGCTGGTGGCACTGGAGCATCGTGCAAGCTACAGCCTTGCCCCTTGGGATGCTTCTCTTGGGTTGGGTCAATATTAGTTGCTGTTTTCTTTGAACTTTGAAATATTTATGAAATAGACCTGGACTTGCCTGTTCAGTGCTCAAGTTTAAAGGGGTGAATAGGGTTTCTTGCCTTTCATTTTCGTCTGAGGATTTACACACTTGCCTGTGAAAAAACTGTATGAAGTGTTGCTAGGGAGGTAAACAACCCAAAGAGTTACACACAGGAGATGTCCCCTGCACCCATCTAGAATGACCTTCCCCTTCAGAGAGACCCTGCTTTATGTTCCTTATGCACCGAGTGCTGGATCAGTATCTGCCTGGAGATGCTTTTGGGCTGCTGCTTCTTGAAAGACTGTGGGTTTTTTCGACTTTATCAGCCTTTATGTGCTGGCTGTGCACAGACCTGCAAACCAGCCCAGTGCATATGTAACAGTATGATGACTTTTTATCTGTCTCTGAAGTCTGTGCTCCTAAATTGCTAATACCAGTATGTCCCACTGCCTCAGAAACGGCTGAGCTCCAAAACTAGTTCTGTTTGGCTTTGGCACAGCAGTGTGTTTTGTTTCTTGTCCTTTGGATATGGTCACGAATACAGCTCAAAATCATGTCAACACAAATCTCTCTGTAGTTTCTGGGACAGTGAGGAGCTCAAAATGGAGTCAGTCCTTTAGCAGACAGGAGGAAAAAAAAAAATGCTTTCCTCTTCTTCTCAGCTTGCTGCTTCTGCTCTCCAGGAAGTTGTCGGGAGATGAGGCAGGTCGGAACCCAGCTCCATGACACAGCGATAGAAGAGAGCCGATGGATCTCAGCTGCAGTGCTTATGTAAGGCTCTGGAGAAGTTTTTTTTTTTAATACTTTACCTTCTCTGGATTTTACAGTGTGGTCTCCTGAAGGCAGGACAGAAGGAAAGTAAAGACGAGGGTTAAAACCAGCACTTCCACTCCCTGTTGCTGAGAGCACTTTGCAAAGCTGGTTGGTAATTGTTCATTGTACAGCTGGTGAAATGGAGATGCCCCTTGCTTGTCGAGGCCTGGGGGTGGTTACCCTTGTAGAGCTCAGGGTACACGGTCTGGGGAAGGCACGGAGGCCTCTGTGCTGAAAGCATTGCTTGCTCCTCTCTGCCGTGCTCCAAGGATAGGGGCAACCTGGTGGTCTTCGCTGCTGCTGAGACAAGGGAGGTGGAACTTCCCTGTGTGTGCAGCGGGAGGGCTGTGCTCCCGCTGCTCAGCTGGGAGCGTATGGCGTCAGACCGGGCTGATGTGCAGGTCCCGTAGCTGTCCTGGCTCGCTGCGTGCTGCGTTATTTGTGTGTGTGCATCAGAGGGTTAGTTAAGAGATCTGCTTGCGCTTTCCTACCTTTAAATCTCCAACCCTACAGTTGCTTACAGGAGCCTGCTAAATTCCACACCTGTACAGAGCACGTATAGCTGAGCGTTTTTTCTTTTCCAGCCTTAATGATTCTGTGATTTCCAAACAGACCCAGACAACGGCAGGGCACTGTGATGGGACTGTCAAACTGCTGCCCTGTTCCATCGTGGCAGCAAGTGAGGAGTTCCTGTGCTCTGTGGTTTGTGATTGCTGCTGGGCTCCAGCAGACCTGGCCTCAGTTTTCCCATCCACAAAATGAGCTTGATAACCCCCCACCACTGTGGAGATTTCTGCTGTGAAATATTGGCTGTTTGTTTGCCCAGCGCTTTTGAGAATGAAAAATACCAATGAGCTGAGCTGTATCATCAGCTGTGAGCTATGCCATGGTTCATAATAATCACTGCAGCCACTTCAGATATTAATTAGGTGCCATACCTTCAAAGTGTTCTGACTAATTTAAAGTCTCACACCACTGCCGTGTGGCAAGTCACAGCTAATTATCCCCCTTCTTTGAATGGAAAAATCTAGGCAGAAGAGGTGAAGCATCTAGTCATGCTGAAGCTAGTATCAAAGCTGGGGCTGAGAACCTGGAGGTTCCAGTTTCCAGATGATTCTGCAGTTGCTTCCAGCCCTTGTAGGAAATAAGATGTAGATGGTGTCAATTAGAGGTCCTTTTTTATTATTTTTCTTAACTTTAACTCTTCCTTGTGCTAAGAGACAGTTTGCTGTTTCCTAGATTCTTGTGCTGGGTGAGTACAAGGGATGCATTCAGTGGGGAAAAATTTAGTGCCTAAATATGGTGCAACAGCACCTATCTCCCTGCTGTCTGCTTCCTTTCTGAGGCATAGGTGTATTGACAGCCTAGCGGACTCTGTTCACCAGCATTTCTAAATGGTGACATGGTTCAAAAATGGTGCAATTTAACTTTCCCCAGAATGTGTGACAAGCCCAAGAGTGGAGGAATCGGCTTTAGGAACTGAGAGTTGGCAGCAGCACGTCTGCTCCCATAAGCAACTTCCTCTAGCTGGAAACCCAGCAACTTGTCACTACAAGCTCGTACCGCAGAAGATTTTCGGATTTCCTTTGCTCGGCTGAGGGCAGCTTCGT